ATAATAATGGACAGAGTAATTTGTTCAAGAATAGAAATAGATGGCAATAGATGTAAATTAGAGTCAAGGAAAAGATTGAAATTTAAAATGGAAAGGACATCATATGAAAGAAAAGCCTAAAACAGGTGCAGAAAGGTAAAGGAAACAATTACCAAATTTACACTTTTACATAGTATTATAGATATAGATGAAACCTTTTCCTTTCTTTTCTTTTAATGTTTTGGCTTAGCATCCATGGATTTACTTCTTGCAAGAATCTGCAAGAGATGTATTGGCAACAAGTTCTACCAGTAACTCTCGTTTCTGGTCTCAATGATATTAAATCTGTAATACAGCAGCGCATGGTTTTCCGTTCTTAGCTTATCAACATACTCCCAGAAAAAAGAAAATGGTTGATGGCGAACATTAACCGCAAAATTTTCAATCAGGGAAAACAGTTACTTCTCAATAATCAGACCACAATGTTATGAGATTGCTGAGAATATTCAAATTGCTTTCTGCTAACAAATGTAGAATTGAAGGAACTAATTCCAAACTCCTTTTCTAATGTTCCCCATTTCATATACAAGTAAACATGGATGAGAATTGGATTTATATGGTTTCAAATGTAGACAAACTACTCTTTTAGATGGGTCCATATTGATTAAAGAATTTAAATTTGGGATGGGTAAGAATGACACTCAAATTACCTGGCTTCTACATTGGGATCATGGCCAATCTCATCCAACCACCAATGCAAGATGCACCTAATCTAAATAGTACATCATAAAAGGTTAAAGGCATACACAGTTGTAATGTGGCAAAAATAAAAACAAGTTGATAATCATAACTAGGCATAAAAAAGACCAAATAGATCTATTAAAGGGGAAAAGTTAATCTGATTCCAGCAAAAGGAATTATCCCCTGATGCACAAAAGCTAAGAAGTGCATCCACTAATTTCATCCAAAAACCCAAAATAAACAAAGTACTATTACTGCTGCTTCAGGTGCTGCTGGTATAGCTACCACATGATACATAGATTTAAAAAAAAAAAACAATCATCCTTCACCTTATTTTTGCCCGCTTAGGAGGATTACCTCTAGGGTCCCTCTTGTCAGGAACCCGACCTTTCCCAAAGGCCTTTGTCTTCCTTCTCTTCCTCTCCTCCTCACTGTCTGACTCATCACCTTTCTCCCTGTCAGCATTGCTTGCCTCCCTTTCCAACTCTTCCCATGTCTTCCCCTCCTCTTCCTCCGAATCTTCCTCAGAATCATCCTCATCATCCTCTGACTCAACAAGTGACTCACTATCATCATTAGATGATGACTCAGAGTCAGACTGCACATCTGATGGCTCATATCCCTGATCCGACTCCTCTGAGTTCTCCGAGTCTGAGTCACTTACCTCCATATTCAGGAATTCCCATCCCCCATCTTCTATGAACTTCTCTGGATCATCTGTAATTGTCTTTAATATTTGTCGCCAGTTGAGATTCAGCCTGCTCTCATAGTATTTAAGGTCAGTTGTATCAAGCCACTCCTTGACTCCATCAAGTGATGTGGATGGAATGGAGTCAATTCGAAGGACATCGCGCTTGAAGTCCTTGAACACAATTGTCATGTCAAAGCTCTTCTGCCCAAGCCCAACCCTCTCTAGGTTCACAATCTCGATCTCGCTAAGGGTTACCACCAAAAAAGGCGTCTCTACCAACTCAACCAGACAGCTCGAAGTGGGGACAATGAAAGCAGAAGCCTTGTGGGGAACACCATGGAAGCCTAGCTCCCTTAGGGGCTGATCAAACTCAAGGTCAAGATCACGAAACTGGGGCTGTCCCCAGAGGTCATTCACCTTGTTAACAAAGTTCTGGAAGTCCATGTTTATTTTGTTCTTTCGGTCCCTTTCCCTCTGCTCCTCCTCAATCTCATCTGGGTCATAGGCAGATCGCTTTCCACCCCCTAGGGTCTGGACCACATCCATGACCTCAACATAGAATTGGACATCTTTAGTTTTTTTGTTCCCCACCATGATGTGATTGTGCAGGTGGAAGTGCAGAAGGGTGATCATCTCCTTCTCTGCAGGCTGAAAGAATGCATGCTTGATGTTTCCAAACATAATGTCTACACGCTCATCTGGCCTTGAAGTAGAGTAGCGGAACCCGTTTACATGGGCTTCAAGAGTACCAGGGATCTTCCTTCCCCTACCACCAAAGACAGGACGGATCCATAGGTCAGACAACCTTATCGGCTTAAATCTGTTACCTGCAAGCTGCAGCTTCTCCTGAGTAACCAACGTAGCCCTCTCTGCTCGCTCTGACTCCCTTGATGCAACCTGTCGTCTAAGGGTCTTAATCTGCTGTACCACTTCACTAATGTGCCTTGTGTCCTTGGAGCGGAATGAGACCTCCTTCAGATAGATAGACCCTTGGAACTTCAAGGAGCTTGCATCATGAGGACTGAAGGGGGTCCCTGGTACATTGAAGATTATCCGGATATAGCCAGTACGATTATTGTCCTGTTGGCTAACAACAGTCTTCACATTGTTTACATGAAAAGGGACCATGCTTCCATAGATTGGCAAGAGGATGGCCTCATTCTTCTGGTCAACCTGAATAACCAATTCTCTCGCTTGGGGAATATCATTTACGTTCTTATAAGCAATCAACTCACCTGAAGTCCTCACAGACCGACGACCATCCCCTGTACCCGACCCACCACCAGCCAGCCTCCTGGCAGTTTCTTCATTCTTCTGGCGGGCAAGTTCTGCCTGGTGCTGCCTCCTTAGTTCTTCCTTTGTCATCTCATGGTTGTCTGACCGGAGTGTCGCTTTTGACAAGAATGTCTCGGTGCCGTTAGACTCAGCTTTGACTTTTGGCTGTTCTTCCTCCTCCTCCTCATCCTCATTGAATGAGTAAGCCACATCCTTAACTGATTTAGAGCTGATTGAAGTTACAACTTCTGGGAGTTTTTCACCAATGATAACTGTATCTGCAAGCAACAGAGAGAACTTCTCAGTCTTCACATTGTTGGTCTGAGCTTGCAAGTTCTGAAACCCAAGTGACACATTAAAAACCATCCCTGACTTCAACACTCGATCATTTTTAGCATTCAGGCTCAACCCTGATTCACGAAATTCAAGACCAATTCCAGTTCCAGCAGACTTGGTAAGACTTGCAACTAATTCAGGAGCATCCTTCTCAACCACAGACAAGGCAGCTTGGTAAGCAGCACTGACTTTATTGCCAGGCTTCAACGCATTGATGGCTGCCTCATGGGCCTTGAGGAGAACTTCATAAGCTTTACTCTGCATGGCATTGGCATCAATAAGAAATGTCCTTGCAACATTGGAGCAGTAACTATTATAGCGGGAGCCAATTGCACATATGATCACACTTGTCGAGTCATAATACAGATTCTCATCATTGCTTGAAGCACTTGGCCTGAGATCAAAGTCTCCCCCACTCTGAAATATAGGAGGGTAACAGATATCAATATTCTCTGCCTTGAGCTTTACTTTAACCTTTGCAGGCTCAAGAATGACTTTCTCTGTGTCATCCATCAATGAAGAATGGGAGACCTTCTTCTCCTCGTCAATTATCTTCTCAAGCTTTGGGACCACAAAATGTTTCATCACAGATGAAGTCAAGAATGCCGCCTTTTTGACATTCATAAGCTCAGTATTGTCCTTAACAGCAAACAAGTCAGAGAACCCATTTGTTACATCACCAAGCTGGAGCCCTGAATTTCTTAGCTTTTCAGTCCAGATCTCTAAAAGATTCCCTTCGGGAGCTTCTTTCACTATATATCCAACAACAGGAGATTCATGACCATCAGATTTTGACTGAACATGTACAGCATGGAATATCTCATCCATCAATGCAGATCCATCATCACCCCTTGCCTTCACATGAATCACAACCTCAGCACCAACCGACTCCTTGGCTGATTTTTTCAGCGTTTCCAGCAGAGAGGCCTTTTTCTGACTACACAAGAAATGGATCTGTTTGTTCATGAAAACCATGATTGTCTCCGGAAATTCATAACCAAGCAACCAAATGTTTAGAGCCGAGGATTTCAGGTATCGAAGGTCCTCGGAAGCAGGAGGAGTTGCGATTGCAATAGCATCAGAAGAGCCCCATAGATCATCCTTGTGTTGATTCCAGTGTGAATAAAAACCTTTCAACCGTTTGTTGAAGTTCTCCAGATTAATGGTATATGTACTGGATTGTCCAGAAGCTTTGCCATCTGGAGCCTTGACATTCCCATTCCTATTATCTGCCATTGAAGGCAACTAAATCTAGAAAAGTTTAAATCTGCAACAATTCCTCCAAAGGAATTAACAGATAAATCAGATAACGAATAACTTGTAGTTCTCAGCTCCCCTTGTGCCAAATAACACCTCACAAATGACAAAAGCAATCAGAAACCCAAACAAACTGCAAACAAGAATTCACGATTTTCTTGTGCTAAGTATGTCACCCCATTTCCTGTAAAAGAAAAAGAATAAAAGGAGCAATTAGGGTTACTTCAAATCCCTCCGAATCTCCATACGAAAACATAAAATCACAACTTAGAAAAAAAAAATAAAAGAACTGATTAAAGACTACCAGTTATGGGAAAATCTACGATGCTAGGGTTCAACTATGTATCCCCAAACTCAGAAATACGAGACCACCAACAAAACTGAAACTTTATCCTGTTTCACAGTGACAGAAGGTTCCCGTCCTCTGTTCACAAAATTTCAAATCCGAAGCTACAGTTGGAGCTTCGGAAGTTACAGACTGAAAACAACGACGAAACAAAACAGAAAAGAAGAAGAGAAACCTTACCGGCTATGCTTCTTCTGAAGACTCGTTCCGCGATCCACCAATTACAAAAGCGAGTTAAACAACCCTGAATTTTTGTTCCAGGCATTCATATCTTCTTAAAACGATTCAATATTTCCTCGTTAATGCTACTAAAAATACATAAATACCCTTACATAATACTTTACTTAATAGAAAGGGCGCGTCTCAACCATTAAGGTTATCTTGGTCTTTTAAGATTGACTGCCCCAACTCCTCCTTTCCCACTCTCTCCACCATCTTTCTTAATTCTTCCTCTCCAGTCTCCACCCCTGTCCTTTCAAAAGTCGAAACGACGAAGATCACCTTCCTCTCTTTCAATCAATCAGCTGTTACAAAGTAAAACCCTACTTATGGCGATTATTGGTAGATTTATTTGCGAGCATCTAAAAAGGATGAGCATCTCGTCACCTGGACATTCTTTGGCACCGGAGGCAACGAGCGCTGGAACTGGAAGAGGGCAACAACTCTTCCTGCCATTTCCCTACCGATCTCATCTCTAATCTAGATTGGAATGAGACACTCATTGGTATTTCTTTTCTTTTGCTTCTTTTTTTCTATCTCAATCACCCTATTTAAATTAATTTTTCTAGAAGTTTATTAGCGTTTAACATTCCTCAACTGCAGATTTTGTGATTTTTAATAAAAGCAAATTTCTTGATTTTTTTTTTAATGTTGGCTTCTGTTTTTGTTGAACATTTTACTTGGGCATTCGAAATACTTAACGTCGTTAGTTTGGATTTTTTTTTTAGGTTTTGATGTATATAGTTTCTGTAGTTCCTCTTTAGCTTTATTAATTGGTTTCTAGTTTGCCAATTTTTGGTAATGACTGATATGCTGACGGTATTGGGGGTGAATTATACTGTTACTTTGTGCGCCATAACCATTGATAGTCATTTCTTATTACTTGAGTAGTCGGGTTCCAAGGTACTTCAAATTACCAAATTCACTGATTAAAGTGAAGCAGATCTTCTATTTTCCATGGCATAGGTTGGTTTATTTGCCGTCATCAACAAGTCTGTCAGTTCTAGCCTAGTAGCCTGCTTGGGCTGCTCATAGATGTAAAAACAGTCAATTTCGAAGAAGTTAAGACTAATGTCTCTTCATCTCTCAAATTTCACTTTGAGTTTATTGATTTAAGATAAACTAATTCACTATTTTGTACAATTTTCATCTGAGTCATTCTACCTTCATTATTACATTCGTGAATGCAGACCAGTATTTACCCAATCTATTTATCGATGACCATATGTTTCTATTCGATATATGCTAACAATTATATTTAGCGTTATCTTATCTTCCTACATGCATACAGAGACAGACATGTATTCCACTTGTAGAGGCTGGATTTCATTTGTGTCTGGCTGTTTGGCCGAAATAACTGAAAGATACATAGGAACATTCTTTGATAATATGTGGAACTCATTTAATGTACATTTTTTTTTTCACTTTTTTCTTTCTCTCTGTTCCCGAAGGTTGCTAAAACAAATTAAAATATTCACTTTTACCTTTAACTTAGCAGGTAAACAAGCGTATTCTCTGCTATCTCATAACTGCACCACTTACAGTCTCCCTCCCCCCCTGTTATATGTTCTTTATAAAACAAACTTGAAACTAATTGGTTTTTTTAGGAAGGGTAACTTATATTCATTACTTCTTCAAAAACTAGTTGGTCATTACTTGAGGGGAAATAAGACAAGCCAAACTTCATGACTTTTGGTGGTTAAGTAGAAGTGTAGGACATGACAATTGGAAGTAAGTTAGATTATACCATTTCAGAAATATGAAATAGATCTCTAACTTGAACCTCTCTTGCTTGAACTGATGTCAAGTCATATATTTAGGTCCTGTAATTGTAATCACTGATTTAAACAATAATTCTGAAATAAAGGAGTAAAGAACTAATTCTCAAAACCTTATCCTTTTTTTATTGATGTTTTGGTTTTCTCCATGTTTTTCAAACCCCGTTCTCATATACAGTTTTACTTTCCCCTTTTCTTTTTTGGGTATTCCATTAAATGTTTATATGTTAAAAAATTAGCTAATTTTTATTTTTACTCTAATAAATACCTATTTATTGAATTGGTATTTTATGATTCCCATGTTCTTAAGGCTGAGCCAATCTTGGGTTAATGATCATTGCAAGGTCTATTGAAGGGTATGTATTAATTCTAAGATTGTTCTTTTTTTAATTTTCCTCTGAAATTGTTAGATTATTTTCATCACCACTCAATCTATTCTCATTTTATGGCTATGTGTAAAACAAGTGTTGAAATTCCTTTGATTTTATAATTTGTTCCCCGCTAGTTTTCTATTATCATCACATAACATGTTCTTATTGATAGCCATTTCAACAACCTCAGGATATAATATTGATGCCAATACGTCCTTTTCAACCCCTTCTGGTTTGGTGTCCTGAACCATAGCTACAAAGAGCAAGGATTGGATAATCACAAACAGGGGCAATTTGCTTATACCATAAAATGGTTGTCTTGGGCAGTAGTAATTCTGCAGAAATCTGGTGAGAATGCTACCACTCTTCAGTTAAATGGACAGTTAAATAGTATCTTGCTTCTTTTTCTGTTTCAACTTTTTATTTCCCCAAATATTAATTTCTCATTCCTCCCACACTTCAAGGAGAATTGACTTGAGGAAGATTGTTAGTTTTATGGTGTATGTCTAAATATTATGATTTTTTAATTTTTAATTAAAAATTAAAAAATTGAGTGTTGAGCAGAGTGGTGGGCAGTTAAGAAACAAGATGTCCAAAAATGAGTGTGGCAGAAATGCTAATGCTTAGATGGATGAGTTGTAAAACTAGAAAGTATAGAGTTAAAGATGAAGTCATATGAAGGAACTTTTTACAGCACCTTTTAGAAAAGTGATCTATTACAAATTGAAGGGTCAAGAAGAGCTGGGGGCAGACCAAAAACAATTGGGTGGAAGTAATTAGAAATGATTTAATGGATATGGCACTGAACAGAATGGAATGGTGAACCAGGCTTCATGTAGCCGATGTAGCTGACACCCATATAGTTGGGACAAGGCATAGATGATGATGATGATCACAAAATGTTCATCAAGTCTTAAATATTTTGGGGAAGATTGACTTTTTTTAAGAGTTACCAACATTTGGTTTGGCTCGTAGAAGTAACCTTTTGCTTAAACACAAAGGGATGGGGTTCATGTCCAGTTATGCTTCTCCAACAGAACTTAGTTTAAGATATGAACATTTTTGAACTTTGGAAAATTCTTTCTTTTTTTGCATTTTTATTAAACTTGTTATTCATTTTTTATTTTGTACATGGGTCTATGTTAATGTGGCAAAATATGGAGACATCCTTGGTGTAGTTTTTAGAACAATGATGAGAGAAAAATAAGCACCATAGTTTCTTGATCTCAAAAATATATGAGCATAGTTTTCCTAGGGTAGTTCCCTAGGTTCCATAACCATATTTCCTTAATAATTATCCATAATTTTCATAAGAAAAGTATAGACTTCATGTTAAAGTCTAGAAAATCAACATATTCATGAGAAGAAAAAGAAGAACGAAAAGAAAGTTAAAAAATATGTATATAGGGGCTGATCCCTATTTTTGTTAGGAAAAGAAGAAAAGAAAAAGGTGGAAGAAGAAGAAAATTTGTTGATTGGACGGAATTTTAAGTTCTTTCTTACTTGTTGGTTCAGCTTTTAAAGTCTTTGAGGGTTCAATACAGCAGTTAGCAACAATGTCTATGTTTAAACCCTAACAAATAAGAAAATAATAAAAAGAAACTACTCGACGATTAGGCGAGGCGAGTCTCCAAGGGCACCTTATCGCCTAGGCATCACCTAGGCCTCGCCTTGACAACTAGGTATATGAGGTGTTCAATGAACTTGTTTGTAGGGAAAATGCCTTCATTCTTCCTCCAATTCTAACCAGATTTACTACTATTCTATTTCTATAAACAAAGACTGTTCATCTACAAGACTACAACTAAGATCTTCTACTTTAACTAAAACATATAGGATATTGTAGCTAAAAATTAACTTGGTTAAGTAGGATGGTAATTGCAGTGTAGGATAATATCTGTATAGTATACACCACATGGTTTGCTTAGTTATGTATCCATATTTCATCAGGTGCCTACTTTGATTGGATTTGCATCTTCTAAATTATGCCCCAAAAGCTAATCCTTGTGACAACCGTATATGTGGCCTACCAAGATATCATATTAGATCTTCTAACTACAATCACATGACCAATTATTACAATTCATCTCTTTCTTGTTCAATTCCTTACTTCTACTCTCTCTTTCACTCCAGAATGGAAGAAGGTCAGGGGGTCAGTCTTGAAGCCTGCCTACCCCCTGAAATAGGTAAAAGCCCCAAACACCCATAGACTCTGAAGCAACAATGATGAACAATGATAAAATATACAGAGCCTTGCACACCACGAGAGCAAGAGTCCACACTTGGAGATAAAACAAGATTTCATGTATCTTGGAGCACAAGTTCAACCCAGTCTGGTGGAAGTATGGAGCTCCATTTCACTCCTAATTGCAAACCAGGCCTCTGGCAGCTAAAAAAATGTGCTACTTAATTGGCGCTTCTTCTCGGATACGAGAAAGTAACTGCAAGTTTTCAGCTTTCAGAAGGATCTCTCTTAATCTCTACTGCAGCAATCGTCCTCTTGCACTTCAGGGCCCTTATTAGCTGACTATAGTCAGATTCTAAAATGAAGTTGTTTAAACTTAATTTTTGAGCAAGTTTCATTCCTTGGAGTGCTGTGCTTCCAACCTGCAAAGGCTTCGTCTTCCAAAAAGTGTTTCTGCAACTCTTCATCATCATTTGAAGATGACTTCAAGCTCAATGAAATCAAAACCACCTCATTCAGTTCTCTGCATATTCCACCAATGACAGATGAAGCAGATAAGTTATTATAATTAAAAAAATCTATCGTTCTACTATTTCAAATAGACCAAGCTGATCGAATACGGGTGCAACTTCTGCTTTTTTGTTTTTTGTTTTCTTTATACAGACTGTTTTGTTTCTTTTTTTTTTTTTTTCACTTATGGTAGGGTGGCATCTAACTTCTATTGGATTGGACCATATCAAGGCCTCATTCGTTTTCAATGCAGTCTCATTTGCACTGACGCAAAAGTATGAGACTGCAATTTTGGGGTTTATTTTATGCAGTACAAATAAAATTGCACTGCAATTAGAGCACAGTGAGACTACATAACCCAAACGAGGGTAGGTAGCCCATTCTGTAACTAAAGCCTGAAGGGACCGAGTTGTACCAAAGTTGAACAGCGTTTCTCTATCCAAATCCAACTGTTGAAGACGATACTGCCATACTGGTATACATTAATTCCCAATATTTTGGACCTAGTGCTTTCTCTATCCAAACTCAACTGGTCAAGATAATACTGCCATACTGGTATACATTAATTTTCAATTAGTATCTTGTATTTTGGACCTAGTGCTTGGTCCCCAAATTTTAAAATGCAATAATTCATTGCCTGAACTTTTTTTTTGAGTTAAAATATCAGTTTTTTTTTATTAATTTTTTTATTTCTTTTTTTTTATGAATGAATATAATTTATTAAAACAGAAATTCAGTGCCCGAACTTTCAAAACATGTCAACTTATTACCTACATTTAACCAGCTGCTAAGTGACATTTGAAAAGACACAAACGTGGGTGGAGTGTCATCTATCTTTTTTATCAACTATCCAAAGGTGGACAAAAAATATGAGATTTTGACATCAAGTCTGAGACTCCTTCGGCAATAAGCCTATTATTTCGGCATCAAGCCTGAGACTCCTGCAATAAGCCTGTGATTCGGCATCAAGCCTGAGATTCTCTTTTCGTTACATATGTCTTTCGGCAACAAGCCTGTAAGCTCTTTCCCATTGCAAGCTTCATATTTCAGCTTTCAAGCCAAAAGCGATAGGTTTTATGGTAATGGGTTTTCAGCTCTGGGGCCAGACTTTTAGACCTATTATTTGAGATCTCAGATCTGGTTAAAACTCTTTGAAAGAGCTTTCTATAAACCCTAGTCTCGATAAATACTCCTTCAAGAGCTAGGGTTTTGCGCCTTTGTACAATTTAAAGCTGGATGTACTTCCTAGTACCTTGGATTTTCCGGTAACTAGGAGTGAAATTTTATAATCTTGGTGGATTCCCAGCTGTTTTCTGGGAAAATCTTTCTAGTATGCACATCATACTCTGGAATGTTAGGGGTTGTAATAACCCAGATACGATGCGATATCTGAAGAGATTGTGTAATACCAACATTATGTGGAAGTTTGTGCACAAAGCAAATCGATGAGTTTATTCTGTTGTTGGAAGGTTGACTATTTACTTACTATGTTGCATAAGAATAAGAGGCTCATTTTCTGTGAAATCGCAAATGCAACCAGCCAACAGTGTTGGTATATTGCCCTTACTTATGGACACCCTAATAAATCCAAACGGAGCCAGCTGTGATCCTCCGTTCTATCCCTTAATTTTCTTTCTTCAGGAGGCAAGTTGGGTGTTGTGCGGTGACTTGAATGATACCCTTTATAATCAAGATTATGTGGGGCGTAGACCACAACATCACACTCCATCCCAATCTCTCACCCAAGTAGTAGAACATTTTAATCTTTCAGAAGTACATAGTAGACTTGGTCGAACAACCAACATGGCCAAAACAGGGTAAAGAAAAGGTAGGACAGAAGCTTAGCTTCTTCAAAATGGCTCCAGTGTTTCCTAGAGGCTAATGCTCTTACTAAATTTTCCTTGTATTTTGATCATTAAATGATCATTTTAGAGACGTACTCCAAAAAATTAAAGGGACCCACTCAGTTCCATTTCCAACCTATGTGGGCTGAGGAACAAGAATGTGAAAAATAATTTCAGAAGAATGGTTGAAGAGTATTGAAGCTCCCCCCCCCCCCTAGAAGGCTGTTGTGGAAGTTTAAAAATTGTAAAGCCAGGCTGAAGGAATGGAACAAAGCCTCATTTGGTTGCATCAATGATAGACTAAAGTTTTTCGAGGAGAGAATGATAGCTCTCGAAGCAACAAATTTTGATCCTACATCTTCGGAGGAATTCATTATTTTGCAAAGAGATTATGACAAGTGGCTTAGGAGGGAGGAATTATTATGGAAATTAAAATCAAGAGAAGTTTGGTTAAAAGAGGATGATCGCAATACTAAATATTTCCATCACATGACAAATTTCAGGAGAAGAATAAACTACTATGAGGGGATTAGGGATGTTGAAGGGAATATTCTCTCAATTGATGAGGTACCTGGAGCATTCAGAAGATTAGCAGTTAATAGCTGGACAAGAGTCACTGACTTCTTTTGCTGAGTTGGAACAGTTACAGCTCCCCGTCCTAACTCATGAACAGAAGGAAGATTTAAAAAGAGTGCCATCCAGATAAGAAGTTTGGGAAGTGGTTAAGAAAATGAAATCAAATGCAGCTCCTGGGCCTGATGGTTTTCCCCCTATTTTTACCAAAAATGCTGACATATAATAGGGGATGACATATATGACATTGTTGTCCATTTCTTCAATACAGCTAAATTCCCTCGGGAGATGAACTGTACTAATTTGGTGTACATTCCTAAGAAAAAGAAGGCTGAGAACATTTCCCTATTCAGGCCTATTAGTTGTTGTAATGTGGTTTACAAGATACAGGACAAATTACAAGATTTGGTAGTAGAAAATCAAGCTGCATTTATAAAGGGTAAACAAGGCCTAGATAATATTATCTTGGCTTGTGACTTGATTACCAAAATGAAAAGGCATAAGAAAGGAGTTGGATGGGTAGCAATTAAACTGGATATGTCAAATGCCTATGATAGGTTGAATAGACATTTCATATAAAAGTTCTTCAACTCATGGGATTCCCAGAACACTGGTTAAATTGATACAACAGTGCATCTTCTCTCCTTCTTTCTCACTTAAGGTGAATGGAGTTGTCTCAGATTTATTCCAACTCAAGGCAAGCATTAGACAGGGCGACCCTTTGTCTCTTTATCTTGGCTATGCAAGTCCTATCCTCTCTTCTATTTCAAGTAGAAAACCAAGGCACTTGAAAGGGAATTAAGCTTACAAGACATGCCCCCCAAATAACTCAACTACTCTTTGTAGATGACTAACTAATTTTTTGTAGGGCTGAAGTAAAAATGCTACAAAACCTGCAAGAGATTATAACCAAGTTTGAAGAATTCTCAGGAGAGAAAGTGAACTTACAAAACAGTTCAATCTTGTTTAGTAGCAACATACATAGAAGGAAGCGACGATTCATCACTCAAATGTTGGGTATGAAACAAATGTGCATGAGTGATAAATATTTGGGCACAAGACTGTGGATAGGAAGAAGCAAATTTGAGGCATACAAACACTTACTAGACAAAGTTCAACAAATAATGTCTTTATGGAAAGCATCTCTTCTTTCACAAGCAGGCAGGATTACAATGATCAAGTCAGTAACCCAATCTCTCCCAATATACTCGATGTCTTCTATTATCATTCCCAAAAAGATTATTTCTGAAATGGAAAAGCTTCAAAGATTCTTTTGGTGGAAAGGAAACTTTAATAACAAAACTTTATACACACTAAATTGGGAGAAAATGTGCAGACCAAAGAAGGAAGGAGGACTTGGATTTAGAAAGTTAAAGTGAGATGAATGAGGCTTTGTTTGCTAAACAAATTTGGAGGTTTCTAATAGAACCTAAGAGATTGTGGGTAAGGGTTATAAAGGAGAAATATTTGCAAAAATACTCTGTTTTCACCATGCAACCAAAGCAAAATGATTCCTTATGGTGGAAACAGATCTTGGCCACAGCCAAAAAGTTGAAATTTGATTTCATTTGGAAAATAAAGGATGGTAGTAATGTTAGTGTTTTTCATGATCCTTGGATTTCATTTGTTCATGGGGGATATGCAACACCATCCCCCCTTTCTATAAACATAGACAGGAATATCAAAGTCAAGGATCTAATTTTCTTAAGTGGCGAATGGAATAGACAAGCTTTAGACCAAGTGTTCGATGTTGAGGTGGTGAGGGAAGTGTTGAAAATACACATTGCTTCTCATATAACAATAGACCAAGTATCGTGGAAGCACTCTCGATCTCATAAATATTCTGTTAAGTCTGCATATCAGTGTTTCACAAGGAACTATCATTCATCTTCTTCTCATCCAGTCAATTGGAACAACATATGGGCCTTGAGAATCCCTTTCAGGTTCCAAATGTTCATTTGGAAAGTTTTCTGGGAGGCAATACCCACAAAAGACAAGTTGTTTTTTCTCAATGATGAAGATAGGCTTTGTGTGTTATGCCAAAAGGAGCTAGAAACAGAATTGCATCTCTTTTTTAAATGCTCTTTTGCAAGGGCAGTTTGGTGCGGTTTGTTGGAGAAAATGGGGTCACTGTAACTTTGGAGGAGAAGCTCTGAGGCGCGTCTGAAGACACTGTCTTTAGAACGTTATTTGCCCCCACTCAGTTTTACTGAGTTTGTTGTTGGGTTACAGGCAAATTCGTTCCCAGGATACAACAGAGCCTAGGGAGAGAATCTGCAACCAGCAAAGTTGAAGAGTCTCCAAAGAAACCTTCTGTGAGACTATAGCAGACCGGACTGAGAGAGAGAGAGAGTGAATTTCGAAAATTGTGTGTTTTGGAGTCTGATTCATGCTCCTTAGATAATTTGTGAAGAGGTATGAAGAAAAGGTAGGTGCTGGTTTAGAGAAGGCACCTTGAACAGTCACAATTTCAAACATTGTGACTGTTTAAAAAGTGGTTAACTTTTGGTGACTGTTAACTTTGAATTGTACTTCTTGATCACACCCGATCGAATCGTGACCGTTGATCTCATCAACGGTGATCAACGGTCATCAACGCACCAAAACCAGAGCCGCCCATCGCGAGCCACGCGGGTGCGAGCAAAGTATGAGCAAAGTGCGCCTCTAAAGCGCCTCATTGCGCCGCACACATGCACGCACATGCGTGCGCGCGCGCTGCATGGTATCGAATCCCCATACTCTCCTCTACTAATTCTAAGGAGTGTAAATCAACTCCTATTGAAATACTGAAAACAAACTTATAATTTTCCAATGTGGGACAAGTTCAAAACTGGGTTTCTTGTAAAAGAAAAACTGATTTTTAAATCAAATGTGTATGTGCAATTTCTCATGTAATTGATCAATCAAACCCATTGGATTTAATCTCTCATGAGATTAAAATCCAACACGATTTACAGTTAAATTTTTGTCTCCCTACTTATGAAAGCACCTCCATTCATGACCACATCATAAAGTGGTTAAACGGACTCCCATTGCGCTGAAATGTATATAGGATATCAGAAACAAGAAAATACATGAAAGTCTTTGTCCTGATCCAATCTAGGTAGTTAACACTACCCACAACTACATTGTTTCACTAGAGAATTCCCCACTTTCACAAATCCAGGAGGAATGACAACCTACATCCCCTTATACCTTGTATACAGATGGTGCTTTCTCTTATTATTCTCATCGAGCAGCGAGCACTTATGTTCTTCTCTACAATGATAAGAGGGTGATTGCAGCTACAGGTAGTATAGTGCAAGCACAAGATCTAGCTGAAGCTGAATGGAAGGCAGTCTTTCTGCGGCTTCAAGAAGCAAAAAGAAAAAAATATCAATATCATCACTATTTTTTGTGATGCCAAGGGAGTAGTCGACACCTTACATAGCAATACTTTAGATTGTAACTGGGTCAATAAGTTGTATTCACATGAGTTCTACTCTCTTGTACTCTCTTGCGAGGTCTTTTGATGTATGCATAGTTAAGCATGTAAATAGACAACATAATATACTAGCTCATGAAGTAGCTACTAAGGCATGTAGGAGAGGTTCGGAATTGGTCTTTCAATTACCCTCCCAAGGACTTGATGTACACACTTTCAAATCTATAATTGAAGGTTTCTCTTTTCAAAACAAAAAATAAAAAATGAACAGTCCCAAATCTTTGCCTTTTTTATTAAAGAAAGTTTGGGTCATCAGAATGTCCACTGAAATATGACCCCAACTTTCTTGAATACAAGAGAAAAGAATTTGAGAATGTTCTTTTTTGGTTAATTAGATGGTTAATAAAGAAAATTAAATGGCATTCAAAGAATATTTGTGTTTTTTCAAATGCCACTTAACAGATGATTAATGGTTGATTAACAATAGGTATTGGATTGACACATTTTGAAAGTTGAGATACTGAATTGTCATATTTTAAAATTCGAAAATCAAAGTGACACTAGGCCCATGTACTAATTAGGGCTGCAACTTGGGCCGGGTTGGGCTGGGTTGATGATTGGGTTAGGGTTAGGGTTGAAATTCTTGAACCCGACCTTAGTTCGGATTGGGTTAGGGTTGACCCCTCGGGCAACCCGAACCCGACCCCCTATATTACTAGACTATTAGTCTACTAGTCTACAACTCTACTACATGTCATATATATAATTATATATATAACATACATTGATTTGTAGTTGTATAGCCCCCTTTCTTTAAGTTATTCACAGGTACTTGACTACTTGTCTTTTCTTTTGTCTTGTAATTTTTATGTGTGATCTATCTAATATATTCAAATTATTTGCTTGATCCTATGAGTTGTTATTAGTGATTTTATTTCCATAATTTTGTGTTTCATTATTGTTGATTTCATGAATTTATATTTTTGAGAAAAAAACTTTCATAAGTCATAACTCACGATAAACAAATACTTATTTTTCTATTAGATTTTAAGGGATGGGAAGGTTGGGTTAGGCCCAAACCCGAGCCCAACCCAACCTGAAGTTGACATCGGGTTAGGTTAGGATTGAAGGAATTAATTAGGGTTAGGGTTAGGATTGGATAGGTTGGGTTGGGCTAGGGTTGGCCTCAACCCGACCTAACCCGGCCCGACTTGCAGCCCTAGTACTAATCGAGAATTTTTCCTTTTTTTATTTTTCTAGTCACAGTTGAGAGGTCTCCCAATAGCCCAGGCCCCGAACATGAGGACCAATTTTTTTTCTTTTTTCCATCCCTACACAGCCTTGGATTCTCAGAAACAGATATAGATGGCAAAATAACTACCTTACATACACAACAAATAATTATAAACATGAATGAGTAGGGGTTATGATCTGCCTATTCCCCTAACTTGTAATATATGTACATTTACCCCAAATAGGCAAATACAAGCATTGAAAGTTTATGTTTTTTTTTTTTTTGGCAAGCATAGAAAGTTAAACAATGTCTCTTCCCCACTCCTAGTCCTAGCTGGCTGCTTTTTCTAACGCATCTGAAGCAACCAAAAACAGAATGCATCGGCTCCCTCTCCCCAATGGAAGTGTCACGGCCTGTTGCTAAACTAAAAATAATTACACTCAATTTCCGCTGTCATTCCCATCCAGCAATCTCTTCAAACTACAGAGGGCCTCCGCGGAGAGGCTGCAATACCTCAATTTCTGCTGCTGCCGTGGTGGTGTCGACTCCCCCTGGATGTGGTTGTCTAACGAGGAAAAGGCGACAACAATAACAGTTAAGTTATCAAAGGTGTTGAGGCGGAGGGCCTCCATGACAAGATCCCTGGCACACTGCTCCGGGTCACCGTGCCGGCGTAGCCCACGGCGCACTATACTTACAGCATGCTGGCTTGACATCACATCCCATATTCCATCACAACCGATGATGAGGAATTCGTCATCTTCTGTAAGAATTATCTGTCGAAACTCTGGCTCTGCAATCAGCGGCGAGGGAGAGCCTCGGGGAAACTTCATGTCCCAGTCTCCAAGGGCCCTGGTAACTGCAAGTACACCATTAAGATACCCATCATCGATATAACCACCCAACTCCTCCACCCGCCTCCGCTCTGATGCATGTATGGGCCTATGGTCTTGGGACATCTCAATTGCTACGCCTCCACGGCAAAGAACTGCCCTGCAGTCTCCAGCATTGGCAACCAATAGAAGCCTGCAATAAGCAGCAATTAAAGAGTAAGAAAAGTAATTAAAGAATGCAGGGGAAACGTACAATCCTTCATCAAGAATCGGGTATTTCACCTAGAAGGGTAGAACAGAAATATATCAGGGGTTATATTATTGTTTACGAACTAAAGGAGATCATCATTCTTGCAGTGTTCATTCTCTAATTTATATAGACTACAGGGTTGTGAGTTGTTTCACCAATTTTCTTCTGGGGTTCCCAAATCGTTATTCCCCTTCTTAAGCAATTTCTAAACCTGATATGTTTACGGAAAAAGCTGTGGTTTCGGAGGCTCAACTAACCTTCCAAGTATAAGAGCAGTAAGTGCCGTTGTGCCAGAAGAACTGCTAACAGTACGATCGTCAGCCAAAGCAAGATCGGCCAGGAGAAATGCTTTTCGGACTGATTTTTCAACCTCTTCTAGGAAGACATCATCATCCTCAGAAGCCTGTGGGAAGCCGGCATCTTTAAAAAAGAATTTCATGGCATTCTTCTTGACATATGTTGCTGCATCCGAGCCTCCATGGCCATCAAACACCTGCATTGTGTACCCAACACCAATTAGCAATAGGAAATGTCAATAGAAAGAGCAAGTGCCCGCCATACGGCCACAGAGGATGCTAGATGCCTACCCCGTAGAAAGCACTATGCTTGGGACACTGGAAGAGCGAACCCAGGTGTGTGGGTAAATCATCAATCCGTATGTGTTCATCTTCCATGGATCTACGGGGCCCAATGTCGACAAAGCTACCAGAACGTAAGGTTGGGACAAACTGGAGGATGGCTGAGTCAATTTTAACATCTGGGATGGAATCGAGGGATCTCGCATCCTGCAAAGAACAGAAAAAGATAGAGGTCAGCTTCTCCGCATCCACTACAGGTATCCAAACAAGTAGAACTATGGAAGAAAAACAGCTTCGATGAAAACAATAAAAGGGTTTATTTGTTGCCGCTATCTAAAGACTTGGCAGAATTACAGGATATGTAAGAAAAGGAGCTTGGTAAAACAAGTATTTTTAGTTTCATCTTTCATGTTAAAACTCATGAAAAGACCCATAAATATTGTAAATATATGATAATCCTCAAATCAATTTTCCTTAAAAAATAAGCATGATTCGAAAAGACAGAAGAAGAAAGCTAAAGATCATAACTAAAGTTTCAAAATCTGAAGTCAGGAGATATTTGTGTTTATTCCAAAATACCAGCAAAATGTTTAATTAGTCACCCAAAAATAAGAAATCATCAGCTGAAATTTGTAATATTTCGTTAAGTTCTTTTTGCACAAAAGGTTAATGTAAGGAATCTTTCACAAACTTTATAAACAGAACGATTACCTCAAAAGGACAACAATAAATTAAAAATCCAGGCAAAAAGAATCAGAAATTCTGATTATTGGATACTTGCATGAAAAAAAATCCCTTTCAGGTCTAAGAAAAGAAGTGAAGAATTTGCTTCAACTTGCAACTAATTCTCGTTAAAGGAATGGAATATCGAATTTAAGAAACCGAAATAGAAGATGAGGTTAAAATTTTCTAGAAAGCATCGGGTAATCTTACATCATTTTAATTTTTAAGCAAAGAAGACTTAATTTTCTCGATCAAGCGTTAATTCATTAAAGGAAGAACACAAAATCTATTTATCGTTGAAGAAGAATTGCTTACTTCGGAGCGCGCTATATCGGTTGAAACCGAATCTGACGCGCGAATTTGGTGAAAAGCCGGTGAATATGGCGTCGAAACGTCGACAATGTCTTCAATCTTCTGAGGATTGTTTCCTTTCACGATGCATCGGTACTGAACATCCAAAACCGGGATGCTCTGATGACAAATAATTTTTGCCTCTGCTACCATCTCCTCCGATCGACGATCATCACAAAAAAAAAACAACAGATGAATGCTTGAATCTCTTCCGTAGAAGAAACTTTGACGAATTTGCAACCTTTCCTGCAGGAAATTAGGTTACTCTGAAGCAGGTCAAAGTAAAAAAGAAAAAATCCGAGATAAAATGGCGCTTCTTTCTTCTCTCTTTCCGCTGTCTCTCTCTCTCTCTCTCGTTTTGGTGTTGCGAAGCGAGGTGCATTGCATCTGAAACACCTTTGCTGGAGCTGATCTTTATAGGTTTCTTTTTAGAGTTATTTTTTTTTTAATTTATTTTAGGCTACTCCGTCTCCCAGGCCCCATCTCAGGTGCAGGCGAAATTCGATCCCAAGTCTCCGCTACCACCAGCTGGTTGGCACTTTTAAAAACTTTGAAGACCACCTATGACTTTGGGTTTAGATTGAAACGTGGATGTATAATAGACGTCTGATAAAAGGATTACTTCATTATGATAAAGCAATAGCACATTAGCACCAGATCACACCTTGTTGGTATTTTGCGATATCGAGGATCGAGGTCGGCCCTTTGAGTCTTGACCCTGTAAATGAAGGGGGGGACGATCATATATCATTCGTAGACGGAAATACCCTTCGGTCTAGTCACACTTAACATTTTCTTAGTTATATATAAAAAAAAAAGAAATAAAGAAAATATATGTATCATAGGATACGTTGTGATATCTTTGAACCTCGGTGGTCAGTTTTCATTTGGTTAAAAACTAAACAAATAAAATAACGGAAATACCCTTAAAGAAAAGATATGTGTCATAGGATACTTTGTGATATTTTTGAACCGAGTTATCAGTTTTATTTGACTTCTACCTTTCAGATAAATAGATTACAGGCTTACAGCTTCTAAAGTGTATAAGGGCTACCCCGCTCACTCCGTAGTCAACTCTTTCTTGGTTGGTCTGGCGAATGATTCATAAATATCTGTGGATTTGGTTTATTTTATGGTCCTTCCGTCAATAAGCCATGTTTAAAAGAAACCCCTTGTTTTTAACCAGGCAAGAAGAGTACATAGATCTTAAATAATTTGTTAACTAACCAAACGCCAAGTACAAGTGACATGCTTCATACCATGGGTCGTTACCTTGTGCCCCCATAGTTATTGCCTTGTTGGTTTTCCATCGGATCACATATAAACGACAATCAATACTCTGTAGTTTCTAGACAACACTTAACGAGGCGAATGGGATTTTACTTTTTACGCCGGTCAGTCCCAACTCTATTTTGATTTCATCAATGTCTAATCATATATATGATAAAAACCAAGAGGGACTATTCACTGGCCCTACCTCACAAATCAGCGAAACAGATAAAGAGAAAATATAAGATAGAGAAAAACTCGACAACTCTGAACCCGATGAGAGAGCCTCGTGCACTAATCAGTCCGCTGCTTGACGGTAAGTAATTCTTCCCTGCCAGGTGATCATCTGAAGACAGTTGTAAATGATGCTTTAAAGTTTCGATGGGGTTTCCATCTTCTTTTTTAAGACAACAAGTTACTAGCAATGATCGGGAATTCTTTGAAATTCAAGGCGAAATTGTGAAATTCCCAAGGAGCCAACGCTTCTGGTAGATTAATGGAGGAACTTCCTAATTTGTAAGTTTTGTAGTCCTATACTCTCTATTCTCTTGGTATAATCCCTAGCAATGGCGGCTAAGATTCAAAATATTAATACGTATCAGTGTGATGCCTTCTCGATATTAGGGGTTGTATCAAGTCAGCCACTGATTTAGAGGATATAAACTGGACCCTTTCAACTGATTTTAAAAAAATAAAAAAACCAAGTAAAACATAAAAAATAAAACACCGACACCCGCGTCTATATTTAAAACCTCGATAGCAGCGATCGAGCACATTTTATTTGAACTACAGGCATCAAAATTTAGGAGGTTTCCATATGATTTGTTTCCAGGTTTTTGAAGTAGGATCACTCTTTATCCCTTGGAGAGCGCTCTTTCTATTTTTCCAAATTATCCGGTCAAAGATATACAATTTTTTCGTTATGGAGTGGGTCATTTACCCTTCTAATTTTGCAAATTTTTGCCCACCAGTCTAATAACGATTGATCATTGTCGTTTGGGCATTCAATATTTGAATTTACCAAAAGCTATATTTTCTTTGTGAAAGGACAATCTCTGAATATATGAACTATATCTTCATCCTTCCCACAGAAATTACAAGCTCCATCTAGGTTACATCCAGAAGGGATTTTGTTCGAATTTTGTTGTTTAGCAGTAGAAAGAGAAAAGACTTTAAATTTTGGGGGCATTTCAAATTCCGTACTTGAGTTCCTGTTAGGATACACATTATTCCCCTGGTTCGCGGCACTTTTTAACATGTAAACCGATTTGACTAAGAGAGATTCGTCCCCTAAAGACTAAGGGTCCATTTTAATTCCTAGAATAGGTGTTTGGAATTAGAATGGGAATGGCGAATGGGATTTTATTTCCCATTCAAGAGATAAAAGCCCCCTAAACTCTAATATTAATAAAATATTATTAAATTAATAATAAGATGATAATAATAAAAATATATTAATTATTAAGTATAATAATAATAAATAAGTATAAATAAAATATCAAGACAATGTAATTGAAGTAATAATAGAATATCAATAGAAATAATGAAATAATAAAAATTAAATAGTAAAATATAATAATAACAATAACAACAATAATAATTGGAAGTATGTATAGCTCACTCAAACCCTCAAATACCAAGAGTAACACCACAGGAGCACTTATGAGCAGTTTACAATCAATCCCCACGCTGCGATGAACTTATGGTTCATTGCCACTTTCGCGATGAATCCACAACATGTTAAGCAAACCCGCAATAAACCCACAGTCCACCAAGTCCAGTCAACACCTAAACCTAAATAAGTCTTAGAAAGACTCGTCCAAAAGACTCAAGCACACTTGAGTGTGCAATGAAGTCACGCCCGCCATGACATGCGATAAACCTACAGCTTGCGAACCCACTCCGGATAATGGGTCGAGGAAGACTAACCATGTTGCACAAAAAGGTAGTAGCACACGTGAGTAATGAGGAACCTTAAGGATAAGGAAAGCCGACCCCTGAGAAGATCTTCATGAAACACGTGGCGATACCCCAATAGCGTATCCAATGATTGCCAGCGAACAAAGTATTCCCTTCCCCGATACGGAGTGAATATCCTCATATCCTACCTTTTAGAATCTCAGAACCTTCTTCATAAATAGGGGGTCCTCCTCATGTTAAACATCATTGGATCCCAAGCGTTTGTTATTGATATTCTCGAGCTCTCACGACCCTCTCACCTCTTAACCCCTTTTATCAAAAGACCTTTACTCCCCTTGGAGGCTTTTCTTCGTCTTTCAAAGAGACCACTTCTCAACCGAGCCTTATCCCCATCTTACAATAATAATAATAATAATAATAATAATAATAATAATAATAATAATAATAATAATAATAATAATAATAATAATAATAATAATAATAATAATANAATAATAATAATAATAATAATAATAATAATAATAATAATAATAATAATAATAATAATAATAATAATAATAATAATAATAATAATAATAGTAATAATAATAATTAGAAGAAGAAGAAGAATATTAATAAAATAAATAATGCTATAATAAAATATTAATTAATATAATTAAAATAATAATAAAATGTTAATATATTAATTATTAAATACTAATAAATTAATAATAACAAAGTAGTATATTCATAAAATATTAATAGAATAATAAATAAACTAATAAAAAAATAAAAAATTGTTAGTTGATGTCGATTCCAATTCCAAAATAGGAATCCGATTCCAATTCTTACCAAACCAAAACAGACGTAAAAAATAGATGATTTGGATTCCAATTCGTCAGAGATTCAAATTCCGATTCCCATCCTGTCTGCTGAAAAGAGATGAAAGACGAGGAAAATGTTACATCGTTACTTAGCTCTCCATCTCATATCATATATCAAAAATATTCTGTTAGGTACATTTAAAATGAACAATGGAATCCAGATATATTGTATGCTGTAAGTGGTAGAGGAAAATTAAAGGTCATATTTGTATACTCAAGTAATGTTCAAACAGCAATAGTGGCCGGGTCGGGTGCAGTTACGGAATCAGAACCTAACTAGCAATGCAATGGATTAGATTAAGACCCTTGTGACTTAGCCGACACTCGACAGCCAAAAGTGAGTAGATCGGATAACTCATAGAGTCATAGCCTTTTGATCCATGCATCTTCTCTTTGGAGCTTTTCTTGCCACTTGCTATACATCACCATCCAAGGTTATATGCGAAAACATACAGATAATTGGTGCTGGATGTTGGGCCAATTAACTTCCTTAATGGGACCCATTTGATGCTGGGTGGGAATCCTAACAACAGCGGATGTTGCTAGATATATTACAAGTCTCATGACCCAGGCTCATGGTTTGTGGCCCACTGGTATATAATATATTAATTCATCTCCCCTTTCGACATAAAAGGAGAAAAGGGCGGCTCCAATTGTAATTTATCCATTAAGATTAGGGTTCGACTATGAAACCGAAAAGACATGATGGTATCTATTGAAAACATATGTGTTTGTGTAAAAATTATTGGAGAATTTTTAGTATTGATAATTTATATTTGGTAATCATTAATAATTTCTATATTTGTAGGTAATTTATATTGGTTTTTGATATTTTTTGGCAAATTTTAATTTAATGGTTTCGTAAATTAATTTTCATATTCTTGGTAATTTAATTTAGTGAAAGTTAATTTTAAAAAATCAGTAATTAGTTATTCATAAAGTCAGAATTTTTTGAAAATAATTTATTCATATCAATTCAAAAGTTTATTCGTACATTTTTGAAAAATAATTTATTCATGTCAATATTTATAATAAGGATTTTTAAGATGTTCAAGTTTTTTCCCGTTTTTTTTTTATTTTTATTTTTGTATTGTGCAAACAACAATAAATAGAGATTTTTTATTAATTTAGTTTTAAGTTAGGGTGTCAATGGACCAGTTTTGGATTGGATCCCAACCAAACCAAAACCAATTTGGATGGATTGAACAGGCCAACAAGACATTGGATTGGACCAATCCAAGACTTAATGGTCCAAAGTATTTAATGGATTAGATTGGACATGGTCCATCCATGATGAATTTATATTGGATTGGGTTTGATTGAATCAATATCTGGTTCATTGATATAAGATAAGAATA